TTGCCTCTTTTTTATTTTGTGATCGGTAGGACGGTTTTGGCGCCACTGCTGGCTGTTTTTGAATTTCGGACTGGTTAGGGGGATCCTGGTGCCGCGGTCGGCTGACCTTCTATTTATGCTCTATCGGGCGGTCTTGGAGCCTTGGCTTGTTGTATTCAAATTTTAGGCAAGATAGGACGATCTTGGCACTGCGGTTAGCCAACCTTTTATATATGCTTGCCTCGGCTTGTTGTCTTCAAATTTTTGGCAGGATCGGGCGATCTTGGCGTTGCTTTTAGTCAATCATCTATTTATGGTCAGTCAGGCGGTCTTGGCTCCTTGGCTTGTTGTCTTCTAATTTTGGGTAGGACAATCTTAGCGCCACAACGGACAATATTCACTTATTGGCAGTGTTAGGTGATCTTGACACCGTATCCCGCCATTCCCTTATCCCTCGAGTGTCAGGTAGATGTTTTGTTGATTTTATGGTTTTCCCCAGTTCCCCGAGCGTCTTTCTAACCTGAAAATTTTGGACCTTAGATTGTTGAGGCGTTCATTAAATTTATACATATTTCTAGCGGGGTACTGGGAAACATAAATGATACTGCACCTCTCGGATGTATCCCGCCTCTTGAAGCTTAAGCACCTTCTCTCTGATGGGTCCAACCAGTGTTGTCGCTGAGTTCCTTGTCTTCTGCTTGATCAGTCGGACTGTACGACTCACATTCAGCACAATATGAGTGACGTCAACTGATATTCCCGTCATCTCTGCTGCTAGGGGTGTAAACGAGCCTAACACGAGTGAGCCCAGACTCAGCTCATGTTCGGCTCATTAAAAAATATTACTGTCCATGCTTGGCTTGTTTATATTTTGAACACAAAAAATGTGTTCGTGTTCGGTTCATTTGTTTTGCGAGTCAAACACGAGTTGTTCTCAAACAAAGAATTGTTTTGACAACCCTAGTGATGTAGTCATAAGATGTTAAAGTTTAAGGTAAGATTTAAATCTTATTTATATTAAAACATCATTTAAATATAATTTAATACTTTTCTATTCTATTTTTTAATTAATAAATGTAATTGATTACAAATCTTTGTAGCTAGTCAATTAAATTTATATATATAATCGATGAGTAGTATTTCGAGCCAAAGAACTCGAACACGAACGAACAAATGTTTATTCATGTTCGACTTGTTTATATATTAAGTTCTAAAAAAATGTTCATGTCCGGCTTGTTAACTTAGCCAACAAAACGAACATGAGCTTCTTAATGAGCCGAACACGAGCTGTTCACGAACAAAGAACCATTTTGACAGCCCTATTTGCATCGAACCAGGCGAATGCAGCATGGTGGTTTCAAAGTGTCTGAATTAGCAGCTATCGGTGCTCTGCATCATAATTGTCATTTATCAGGAAAGATTTACCTGGTTCATCGTAGGAAACTAGAATCTCTTGGGTGGTCTCACTGGTCTCGAGGCCAACCTCCCTCCGATTCTGCCCAACGATTCCTTTGACATGAAAAACAAACAGTGGATCGGTTAGCACTACCAATCGGTTGGCATGAAGGTTAAGTTTATCGAACACTGAATTGAAAAAAAATGTTCACAGAACTATCAGTGTCAATAAGAATACTTTCGATTTAGAAGTTACTTATTATCCTTGTTACGACTATGATCTCATCGATTGTCAATGATATTATGCCCAACGCCTCCTTACTTTGACATGATAAAACAAACAGTGGGCCGGTTGGCACTACCAATCGCTGAAGGTTAAGTTTATCGAACATTGAATTGAACAAAATGTTCACGGAGCTGCCGGTGTCAATAAGAATACTTTCGATTTGTAAGTTACTTATTATCCCCGTTATGACTATGGCCTCATCGTAGGGTTTTCCTTGTTGGGGAAGGTCGTTGCCGGTGAACGTGATGGGAGGGTAGTTTCCTCTCTTCTGCGTGGATGCAACACTGCATAACTCACCTGTCCTGGGTCTCTTTTGGGTGCTCTATTGGAGGGAGTCCGTTTCTTTCAGAATTGTCGAGACTACCCCGACGACATGGATGGAATTTGTTTGGACAGGTCTGGGAGGGGCCTTAATTGCTGAAGCTTTACCATGTCCCTGGTCTGAGTCTTCCTGTGCCACGAACTCTTTTAGTTTCCCCACCTTGATGAGTTCCTCGATGAGGCTTCGAAGATGTTTGCACTCCTCCATATCATGGTCGTGAACCCGGTGATACTTGCAAAACTTCCTCTTGTCTCAGAGGAAGGCTCTGGTTGTTCCGACCTGTTCCCCTGCTGTCGCGAGAGGATTGTTCATCTTCATACTGACGCCTGATAGGCGGTTGGTGGCCCTTCCTTGACCTCAACCCGTTGATTGGGGGAGGCCTCTTCAAGACATGAGGCTCTGTTGGTTCTAGCTTGGGAATGTTCTCCTCGGCGCGTATGTATTTGTTGTTCATCTCTAGTAACTCTGCCATTTCTCAAGGTTGTTGTAGGTTTAGGTCGTAACGAAACCTTTCAGACCTTAGGCCCTGCTTCAGGGCAATCTGTGCCATGTTAGCCTGGAGTTTCTTTACCTCCAACATTTGTCTCTGGAAACGGATGATATAAGAGGGCAAGCTCTCATTCGGTCCTTGCTTCATATGTTATAGGTTTCACGTGTTCTTTTTTGGTGCCCTACACTTGCAAATTGCGCCATAAAAAGTCTTCGGAACTTTGAAAAGCTAATGATTCTCTCGTCCGAGAGCAATTGGAATCACTTCAAGGTTGATAACCTCAGAGTGATAAAGAACAGTCAGCATTTGAATGCGTTCGATACCTTCAACACGCACATTGTCGATTGGAACGTAGCAATGTGTTCATTGGGATCTGATTGCCCCCATAAGCATCCAATGTCGGGAGCTTGAACTTCTCTGGGGGTTCCCCTTTGGAGATATGGAGGGAAAATGGGTCCTTTGGTTGGCTTGGTGCTTTAGTGTGCCCGCATTGCTATTTTTTTATTTGTGCAGATCACGTACTGTCTAGTACTACGCGTCATCGACCCTCTCGGGACCGTTGTTCACTAAGCTATTGTAGAGCGCCGACGTTACCTCTTATGGCTGGTTTTGCACGCGGGGGCCCGACTCCTTGCTAGGGCTGTGATGGCACTCAAGACTTCAGTGATTTTGCCCGACACTTGATCCATGATCTGAATCCTCATCTCCTGCATCCCTAACTACATTCACTCCTCTATGTCATCTCGTGAGGGCTCTACATTGGTTGTTTCTCTTTGGGCATCCTCTTCTCTTTGCTATCGCCGTGCTCCTCTTCTCGTCGACGGCATGACTCCATGCTCAAAGCATCTTTTAGGATGTTGAATCCAAAACTGTACAGGAGACGCACCTAAGGAATAGAGTGTGTAACCTTTATTCATGAAATAGACCTCTTATTTATAGAAATGGAGGGTTGTACAATTACATATTGCACCTCTAGTGTACGTAGGTACTTCCCGAGGGGGCCCACAGACATCCGATCGGAAGGGGTCGGACGGCCATTTGGTCAGGCGGCTGGTTGTTGAGGACTAGTGCCAACTGCTCGGAAACTAGACAGTCTGTTTCGTCTATTTGGTCTTTCCACGGTGGAGAATGTTGGATTCGTCCCCATGAGCCTGGTCAAATAGATTCTTTAGGAGCTGATCTATTCTCACCCAACTGGGAATATTATCCTCCTGGTATGTGAGAGTCGGCCGTATATGCATGCCGTTCTGGATCGTCTTTGGAGATCCCCGCGATGCCGCATCACCTCTTCCGCCGACCGCATGATATCTTTGAAATTTGTGCTGACACATTTTTAATATACACTTATATAATTAAAATTTTATTTTAATTTAAATAAATAAACTTAATGGGCAAGAGAGCAATAGCAAAATATTGAAAAGTGTTAGGTATGACTCATAATACCAGAATTTGGAGTCTCTTGGAATGAAGAGAAGTCTCTTGGAATTAAAAAGGTGTCTCTTGGAATTTAGTGGGTTGAGATCAGCGTGGGCGCAGCAGAAACATGGTGGCCCAACCTACATTGGTGCAGGTGTAACTCCCAGATATATTTTCTCCTAAGGGGCTGAATATTCGCCAAGGTGGAGATTTATTATGGTATGGCTCATATACCGTATAGAGACAGACGCGGAACGAAGCAAAGCGGAGCGGAAGAATCTGTCCAAATTGGGAAGTTACATTATGTGGATTGGGGATGCTGGGTTAACGCCCCGCTATACGGTACAGAGGTAATTTGAGAATTACATATTGTACTGTAAGGTTTACTCTATGATTATAAATAGACCTGTTTGTAATCCTAGGTCTTTGAGAGAGAGTTGAATTTTGTATTATGTATTCTTTTCTGAATATTGAAAAGGAGGTCGCCGCTCTGCTCCCGAGGATGTAGGCATCTTTGCCGAACCTCGTTAAATCTCTGTGTTCTTCTGGATTTGTGTCGATTACTGTTTTTCTTCGCCCTTATTTTCTCAACAAAAAGTAAATTTGTGTAACCTTTATTCATGAAATAGACCTCTTATTTATAGAAATGGAGGGTTGTACAATTACATATTGCACCTCTAGTGTACGTAGGTACTTCCCGAGGGGGCCCACAGACATCCGATCGGAAGGGGTCGGACGGCCATTTGGTCAGGCGGCTGGTTGTTGAGAACTAGTGCCAACTGCTCGGAAACTAGACAGTCTGTTTCAACTATTTGGTCTTTCCACGGTGGAGAACGTTGGAATCGTCCCCATGAGCCTGGTCAAATAGATTCTTTAGGAGCTGATCTATTCTCACCCACCTGGGAATATTATCCTCCTGGTATGCAAGAGTCGGCCGTATAGGCATGCCGTTCTTGATCGTCTTTGGAGATCCCCGCGATGCCGCATCACCTCTTCCGCCGACCGCATTGTGGTACTATTTTACCCTCTCTCCAAATTCTTAGTTATAATAGTTTTGCATATTGCTTTTATTAACTGATTATCTTAACATCTTATCACCTTTTCACTTGCAGGTGTGTCGGAACCTTAGTAGGAATTAGTGATTTTGATCCGTTAAGGTGGCCTAACTCTAAGTGGCGCAATCTACAGGTCGGTTGACACAAAGTATTAATAAAGCACTACAATCAATTTTGCAATAACAACCCAAATCTTTAAGGCTTTTAACTTTTTTTTGTCTCATTTTAACATCAGGTCGAATGGGATGAACTTGGTTATGATGAGAGACCAGCTAGAGTTAGTATATGGGAGATTGAGACTACTGAAAGCCTTTTTGTTTTCCCTCCTAGTTTGAAAAGACATTGTATTCCTGGCTTAATGGGTAAGTATTGCTCATATCATCACTCATGTCCAAAGCCCTCATATCTAATTTGTGCCAGCCATCTTAAGTCCCTTAATTATCAAATATTAATATATATATCTATATATATATTTCAAACTAAGTTCTCTCCAAATCCATTTGCTTTGATTACAAATTAAGAATTTTAAGTTTGTTGTTCGACTTCTGTACATTTACATTGGCAGGAATGGATTTTGGAGCTGGAAATATGAAGCATTTTTTACAGGATTATACAAATGGCGATCTACATACCTTACAATCAAAACTTGATTCAGAACATCTTATAAAGAAGACAATCAAACAACAAAGCTCGCATCTTGGCAGTGAAATTGGATGTCAGCAGTCAGTCTTTGCAACTATTTTACAAAAAATTAAAACCAATGGTTTCTCCGCAACCTCATCTTCAACTTTACCAACTCTCATGGCTACAGAAGCCGCTTCGTTGCACGAAGAGTTGATAACCCAAATATCTATGAAGGAGAATAACACGTCTTTTGGGCCGCCGGAACAAGCATCTCCATTTGAAGACAACAATCCATCAGAATCTCAGAATATCTACTACTGTCCGGAGCAGCAAGGTCTGTTAATGGCGGCAAAGGTAGTAACCCAGTTTTCAGCTGAAACTGCATGGAGAAATTGCCACGAGCTAAATGATCATATACACAAATGTGAAAATGTTTCAGTTGAAGAAAAAACTGACGTGGAGTCTGAACATTTACATGATAAAATGAAAACTACATCTGATATGAGCCAAATCTCAGGAAATTCTGAAAGATTCAGCCTTGCGACACTTCCTGGAAACGAAATCAATAAAAATGAAAACTTTATAAATTCTACAGCTTCTGAAAACAGACTTCATGATCCTCATATTGACCAGCAGCAGCTTGAGCCATCAAATGTAGGATCATCAAATTCATTGATTAGGAATCTGCCTTATGAAGAATGTCAATTATATCAGAGCTCAGGTAATGAAGATTTAATGCTGCAGCACTCATTATACCAATCTCTTGCTCCAAACATTCTGCACAACTCCAGCACTAGACCAGATAATCTATTTCTATCAGATAATTTTGAAGTTCTCAATCCGTTCCAGTTCTCCTCATTTTCTGATACTTTTTCTCCTACATTTATGCCTGTTTTTGCCGAAGAGGCCTACGATTATAGGGAGATAAGTTCATCTGAAGAAATCCCCGTGTCATCTCATGCTGAGGACCTGAAATCTGGAATCGAAGAAAATGTTTCTCCGGAGTTATTGGAACTCTGTGGGCTTAGAGACCCCTCCAATGAGGCCACTTGCAGCAATTTTCATAGCGAATCTACAGTTTTAGAGGAGTTTAGTGCGGCAAAAAATTCCACTTTTCCTGGAACTTTGGAAGACTCATTTAGCTGCTTCGCCATGAATCATGACCTCCAATCTCAGCTGACCTCCACCAGTTTAGCAGACTCTCAGATCTTCTCCTTTCAGGATCTTCCTGATAACTCAGCTGGAGCATCATCTGGGAATATTGATGCTAATGATTATAATTATTTGGGTATGCATGGAATGAAACCATTGAGGACATATACCAAGGTATGACTATATAATTTAGCACACAATTCTTATGTATTTACATATCTCACACCTAAGCTTTCATATTTACGCACATATCACTCAAATCTTTAATATCACATAAAAAATAGCACTATTATCATTTTTTAAATGTGAAATACACATTTTCATGCATATTTTTAAAGCATCAAAGTGCTATGCATGTAAATATGAAAATTTAGGTGTGATATGTAATTTCATAAGAATTATGTGATATGTATGTAAATTTCCCTGTAATTTATTCTATAAAAGCTTTGTTTTGATCGCTATGAACTGATACTTGTGTTAATCATGATCGGAGTAGGTTCAGAAGCTCGGATCCGTCGGGAGATCGATTGATTTGAAACGATTTCAGAATTATGAACAACTTAGATCCGCCATTGTACGCATGTTTGGGCTTCTAGGTCAACCTGGTGATCCGAAGCATTCGGAATGGAAGCTTGTTTATGTTGATCAAGAGAATGATGTTCTTCTTGTCGGAGATGATCCATGGGAGTAAGTCCTTTCCTTTCTTGTTCATTATGATTCGAGTTATTGTGAGCTCATTCTTTCTAATAATGGAGTTTATTATAGCTTTGCTCATGCATCATAATGCATTACAAAAGTAAAAGATTATTGAAACAATATAAATACATATTTGATACAACATTATCATATAAAAACATATTTCTTATTTTCTTAATAGGATGGAATTATGACATGTTAAACATCTGATAGGTGCTTGTTGTGTGTTGCATGTGTTAGATACTTTATATTACAACGAGCTACTGTATCGTAAATCAGAAGTAAATGTTTTAGCCAAATTAAACAGTAGAAACATATTTTTACTTTAAAAAGGATAAGGGCAATTACACACATAACACCCAATTTCTATGTATTTACGTATCTAACACCTAAACTCTATTTTTTACTTTTATACCAGCCAAAAATTTCATATCACATAAAACATGCCATTATGTTAACGTTTAAAAAGTGAAATACGTCTTTTCGTGCATAGGTAAGGTGACATTATGTAAAAATTAAAGTTTAGATGTTAGATATGTAAATACATAGGCTATAACTGACATTTATGTAAATCTTCCTAAAGAATAAATATATGCTAAAAAAGTTAAATGCATCATTTATTATTAAACAAACTTATTGTTTAATTCAAAACTATTCAAGAGATGTGGCTAGGTATATAGCATGGAGAGAACAAAGAGGGTGACAGTACAACCTTGAATGGTAAAATCATGTAGCTTTTATTCATGAAATGAGTCCCCTATTTATAGGAATGGGGACTAGTGGATTACATATGCATCCCTATAAAGTAAGCATAATAGAGGGGTATTATAGACATTTTACATTACATAGGGTCGGGGTCTTGAAAATAGGCTCTTGTCCTACTAATTCTCTAGGCCGCCTTGGGTCGGATGGTTGTCCGACCAAGAGACTGTTGGGGGTGTCCTTGGGCTAGAAGGTTGTTAGCTGAAAAATGGGCTTGCCGACCGAGAATCGTGCATTCATTTCATGCGCAAAGACGTAAGCCGACAATCAGCGCCTCATAACTTACCTGGTTTTTTGTTAGCTCAAATTCCACCACTATCGAGTGATACAAGTGTTCCCCGGATGAGCTGTTAGAGCTAGTCATAATCCTTCTCTGGATCGGTTCGAAGTGTCGTCTACGTACAACAGCCACTCTTATTGATCTGTCGGTCGTCCGTCCTCTCCTGCTCTGAAAAATCCGTTAGAAAATCCGCTACTGCCTGTGATTTGCTAGCCGTTCGAGGGACGTAGCCCACTTGAGTAGTCGGTTGGAATGTTCTGACAATCTGAGCAGCCTTGGGTCGGGAGGTTAAAATGGGTCGACCGGCCTTGTGCTGGCTTTTCTGCTCTAATCCGGTATCGGGTCAGATCTTCCCCAGCTGAAATACGTCGGGTGGGTGAGGACGAATTTGACGAATTTCCGAACAGTTCTATGTGGGTCCCATCTTGTCATTGCCACACTCTTTATTAGCCTTTAGAAGTTTTCAATATTCATGCTGGTACATTACTTGTGTACACTTATTCTCCTGCAAATTAAAAGCCAAATGATTGATCAAAATCTCTTTTGCCTCCTCTATTCTTTATAAACAGAAAAAACTAAATAAAGAAGACTTCAGAGCTTAGTTTGATTTTGAGCATGTTTTCTTTCTAGTTTTCAGTATTATTTTTATTTTTCTAAATAAATACCAAGATTTTTCTCTGATGCTCTTATTATAATGTTTCAGTGAATTTGTCAACTGCGTTCGCTGCATCAGAATTTTATCTCCTTCAGAGGTACAGCAGATGAGTCAGGAAGGCTTGCAAATCATGAACAGTTATCTACCATGAAGTCCCATCAAGAAGAGCAAAACTGCTTTCTTAACCTTCAAAATTTTATCTGGAACAGGCTAAAATTCTAATTATTTTAAGAAGGAGGTTAGAGAGGAAAATGGACATAATGCTACCATATGTGTAACAGTAGTAATTTCATATCCATCTATGTGGGAAAATATCAAGAAGCAACACGGTTGCTATTTGTAATTGTTCTGTTAAAGATTAATTTCATGAAGAAATAGGTCTTTTTTGTAATTTATCTTTCAGGCAATTTCATTATTAACATTTAATTTTTTTTTTATTTCTGTAAATTTCATATTATTCTGCCCCGATCGCTCAAATATTAGAATTCACACCAAAATCTTAACTTTTTGTTTTTTTTTTTCAATTTCCCATCTTTTCAATCACATCTTGTAAATATGCATTTTAGTTTAAAAATTGTTTTTGGGTATAAGAGTCCGTTTGGGGCAGCTTATTTGGTGCGGTGATATTTTGAAAACGCATCTGGTCTGTTTGGGTAAATTGTGTTTTGACAACTTATGTGTTTTCAAAACATTAAAAACAACATTTTCATATCACACATATCTAGGTGCTGTGACAGCTTTCTGACAGCTATCTGACTTTTCCAAAAAAATAAAAATTTGTAATTGCCACCGCACATTGCTTATCAGCAGATTATTCAATAAGTTGCAGCTGCCCAAAATAGACCCTCAATATGAGAGATATTTACATGCATACCACTTAATTGTTATGTATTCGCTTATCTAACATCTAAACATTCGTATAAATGTGACTATGCATTTTTGAGAATACAACTATTATTAACTCTTTCAAGTGAAATATATCTTTTTTATGAATGGATATATGATTCCAAGGTGGTATAAATGCAAATAACAAATTATAGGTGTTAAATATGTAAATTCGCTAGAATTATGTGGTATGTATGTAATTTTTTCTAAATTTGAAAATAAAAAAGATTTGATGGTGTGTGCATAATAATACCATTTCTTTTGTGGACAAGACATGAGCTCTTAGAATTTGAAATGTTTAATTCTTAAGTGATGGCTATGATTGCTATAGGGACTGATTTGGTTGTTTATAAATAAAAAAATATATTTTACAAAATCATTTTTTTTTTCATTTTAGCTTATTTTACGTGTGAAAATGACATGAGGACATTAATGTTGGTGTTTTATTGTGAAAAAAATGAATTTACATGTCTAACACAAACTAATTCTAATGCATTTTAGGGGTATTTACATATAAACATTCATACACAAACTTTTGTGTTAGATAATTCTGGAGTTAAATATAAGGGAAAAAATTTGCGTACGTAACAAGAACGCGGGGTTGTGTATATTTCGGTTATAAGGAGGTTATAGAGAGGTTATATGGAGGTTACATCTGTGTTATACCCATAATACCATCATATAACCTCCCAATAACCCCGAAATGTACGCAGCACTGCGTACTTGTTACGTACGCAAATTTTTCCCAAATATAAGGGGCATTTGTGCCGCGTACCACGGTCTGTTGGTTGACATCTATAGTATAAGACACCTCAAGTCGATGTTGGGTAATGTGGAGACCCGGTCTACTTTTTAATTAAGAATTTTACGTACCGCTCACCTACCTTACCACCTATCACTCATCCACCACACTCATCTACCGCTCACCTAATTTCTATGAGTAATCTCTTATGGTTTGTCATAAACAAGCCAAGCCAAGCTAAACCATAAATTTTTTAGCCCGTCGGCCCATAAATTTTTCCAAACAAGAATAAATATTACGTCCGGAGTCCAATAAAATCACGCCACGTGAAGATGACAGAAAAATTAAAAAAAAAAATTATTTTAGCACAAAGGAATATTCCCCCATGTTATTTCACGTTCACATTATTCAGGTGTTATTGGGTGGTATTCATGTATTACCCCATGTTATTTCACGTTATTCAGGTGTTATTGGGTGGTATTCATGTATTATTATGTTCTGGGAATATTCTTGGTGTTATAATAACACAATAACACATAAATACCACCAACGTGAAATAATACGAGAAGAATATTCCATTAGACTCCGGACGTAATAATTTTTCTCCAAACACACCCTTCACATTTTATCTTATTTCTATTCATTAAAAAAGATAAGCTGACATTGGTTAATCATCTACTGGCACAGCTAGGCTTCAACATTTCTCATATAAAATTCACAATAATTTTAAAATTTTTTGGTGAGAAATAATAATAAAACTAAAAGTATATATATTGAATACAAATGAACGATTTACATCATGAAATTTCACAATGAATATGCTCTTATTTTTATAGTTTTGTAATATATTTTAAATCTTTATTTTTTATAGAGAATAAAATTTAATTATAATTCTCTAATGTGTGTGCGCGCGTGTGCGCCACATTCCCAACTCAATTGGTAGAGCATTTGTTTCAGCAGTGCAAGTCCCCTTTGGAGTGGTACTTGAGTGGTTAGGCGGATGGGTTTAACCCAGACCTGACGGGTTGCTAGCCAGGGTGGTTGGCGGTTCTGCTCGTTTTACAAAAGAATATATATATATAGTGAGGAAGAAGAAGGGCATCCATGAATAATAAGGGATCTCGGCTTGAGATCAATGAAGAATAGTTTGTATGGTGCTTGCTTCATGTTTAGTGCGCAGAGTTTTGGCTTTTTATGTTGTGGTTGGCTGGATGGTAGTTGTTCAGAGTGTTAGTTTGTAGTTTGTTCATGTGTTCTAGTGTATGTGGTTGTACTAAGTTTATCTTGCTCTATTTTTGTAGTATTATATATTATATTATATATATACATCATATCAATATATATATCTATAGTGTTGCGTACTCAAATCAATTGGTCGGACATCTGTTCGTCAGTTGTAAGTCTCCTCTGGTTTGGGGTTTGATTCCCCTCGAGTGTAGAGTGTGGAACTCAAACTATAGGTAGATGAGGGATGATCGGGACTCACATCATAACCTCCAACTATTCCTTTATAATTTATAGCTCAGTTATATTGCGTGGTGCACTGACTAAAAACATGTCATAAAATTTATCTCATTCCATAAAATTTCACATTATTTATTTTTAAATATTTGAAGTGGAATAACCACCACATTAATAATAGTAAAAAAAGATTTACTTACCTACCACTTAATTCCTTATGTATTTACATATCTAACACATAAATTTCAATTTACAAATGTGCCACTTTATATGTGCATAAAAAAATTTATTTCATATTTAAAAGTTAAAATAATAGCATATATTATGTGCTATTAAAAATTCACAAAACATAAGTGTAAAAAGTAAAGTTCAAGTGTCACACATGTAAATACATAAAAATTTGGCGATATGTATGTAGAAATCCCTAACAAAGATTGTATAACATAAATCAACGTTTGAGGGCAAAGTACTCGTCTAGCAAACCTCATAGGTTTGACAAACACATCTACTCAAGAAGAAACAATCATAATGATTTGCTAAGATGACCCACTTTACTTATACGTCAATTTGTCATATGTCTTGTACCAACTACAGCCTGTCAGATTAACCTAGCTGATTAATTAAATCTACCATCCAGATTGGCCTGGCTGGTTGACCTAACAGATTGACTTATCAGATTCACCTAGTGGGTTGATCAGTCAGATTCATACGCCGAGTTGATATAAGGAAAAAAATCGAGACTAATATTAAAGATTGACATATGTCATGTCCTCATTGACGTGCAGTCTGCCACCCATGTTGTAATCTTTTCATCGAAAAATCGTGGGCATATTTCAAACAATACAAGTCATATTTTAATATTTTTCTTACCATGTAAAAATAGTGGTGGGGTAGTGACCTCTTTCAGACTCACTCAATAATTTTGTTCTTTCCTCTTCATTAGATCAACTTCTACATTCTATCGAGAAAGGATCATTGTGGGAATACATAACACATGTCTAAAGACATCCATTTTCTTCTTTCACCATTATCGTACATGTTTCTCCCGATTTGTGTAAATCCTCGAACGATATTAAGAGACCTGATGTCCCAGAAAGATTCAAGAGAGATGAATCTTACAACCTTCTTCAACATTTTTTTTTTGTCATAAGAAATATTTTCCTTTTTTTTAAATTGGTAGATAGAACATGGCTACTTTTCATTTATTGATCAATGAGTATAATAAAAATTTCTTCCTTCCTTCATACGTAGACTGCTTAAATGAAGCCACTTGGAAGCAGGTCTTATCCTGATGATTCAATGGACTCTTCATTTCTATACTAAATATCATTATTTTAGCTGCTGATCTTGAGAGAGAGAGAGAGGGATAGAGAGAGAAAGGTAGAGAGAGAGAAAGGTAGAGAGGGAGAGGGAGAGGGAATCTCGATGAGGAACTTTTATCAAATATCTTATATAAGAAATATTGTGGAGGGTGATAGGGGTGAGTTAAGGCAGAGGCACAGGCTGTAGTTGGGACAGAAAAAAAAAACCATTTTTTATCTGAATTTATTTTAATTAATGAGCATTGACCTGCTGCAGAAAAATTCATTTTAATTACAAAAATAATTTTTAATTAGTTTTGGATATATTATCTACAAGGCATAGTTGAAGAAGCTTTGTCATTTTTGTTGTTTTATATGGTCATGGAACCATGTCCTTGACAAATCAACATTGCAAAAGAATTGTTTATTTAAGGAGCAAGCACACAATTTTGTTTGATGATAATATGCATTGTGGTTTATTCTGTCTGTGGCCAATGAGTATTAAAACAATTTGACCATAAGATTATACAACAAGATATACATCAATATCACTGAAATCCTTTGCATTTATATATCTAACACATAAACATTAATATTTTTACATATATGCCGTCTTATCTATGTATGAGGATGTGTATGTCAATTTATAAAATTAAAATACTGGTATTTTTATGTGATATGGAAGATTTTGGCGGCATCAATGCAAAATTTGAAGTTAAATACTAGATATGTGCAAATGCTCGGATTATATAATGTGTTTGTGTTGAGTATATACCACGTGTAATTCAATATTTGAATATTTGATTAGATGATGACAAACTTTGTGTGATATAGTTTGATGGTTTTTTAATTGTATTTATAGGTTCATTAAGTTGCAAGGAGTATCATAATTTATATGTCATCAACAAATTTATCATCTGGCATGAATCTTGAGATATGACACTAATTTTGTGATTATTTTTTTGAATAAGAGATATTCAAATT